TAACGATGATCTTAAGCAATCCAAAAAGGTGGCCATTAACGAAGAGGATGCGGCGTCGACTGCCAGTTCGATATCAGATCCTTACCCAAATTTATTATTTCGGTGTAATCGTTGCACACTCACTGCGCATGAACATTGTCTGCCTCCATTAAATGAAGATGATCCACCTGAGCTTAAAATAGAAATTTATCGCGAAAAATGGAATTGTCATTTATGTGATCGTTGGAAATGGGAAATTGATAAAATATTAACTTTTAGATACATTTCGAATAAATCTGAAGAACAATCGTCTGTATCGAACGATTTGATAAAGGAATCCGAAATTGAGGCGCTTGTTAAATTCAAAGATCGATCTTATCGTAAAGTAGAATGGGTTCCTGGGTATTGGTTAATGAATTTTTCGAGTTTAAAATATCGATATTTCGTGAAAACAAATCCAGTTCCCTTAAATGAAGAAGATGTTATTCCTCGTGAATGGCTAAAAATACATCGTGTTCTTGACGTAGAATATTCTAACAATAAAACTCTGCGAGATAAATTATCCTCCAGAAAGGGTGGAGCAGGCGTAGAAACAATGAAAAGGGCATTTATAAAATGGAAAGGCCTTAAGTATATTGAATGTGTGTCTTTTTTTCTCATGTGATTTAATAACAATTCCACGTTGTAGTACTTATCTATTAATGTCTTTCCTTTACTATAGCTACATGGGAAGACATATCTGAATTGGATGAAAAGAAGTTTGCTAAAGCCCTAAAAATTCGCCGCAAAGCTTACAAAATTGACGTAATGGATCGGTTCGTGGATAGATCGTTTCAGGAGATAAAAAAACAACCTGCGTGGCTGTCGAGTAATCCCAAATATAAAAACAAATTGATGGATTATCAGTTGGATGGTGTAAAGTAAGTTTTCCGTTTATGTTTCAATTTATTATTAAACCATAAACTAACAGTTAATGCTTTTAGCTGGCTATTACACAACTGGAGTCTAGAAACTTCCTGCGTCCTTGCAGACGATATGGGACTAGGTAAGATTCTATTTTATGTAGTTTTCGTTATTATATATAACTGTAAATTTATATAATATACATTTTTTCAACAAATAATAGGAAAAACCATTCAAATAGTAGTATTCCTTAATATACTATTTAGAGATCGCCATTGTTACCCATTCATTATCGTCGCGCCAAAATCTACGACTGCGGGCTGGTCTCGCGAATTTAAGCGATGGGCACCAAATTTAGTCGTTGTAGAATTTCATGGGGACAAAGAATCTTGCGAGGTTGTTGAAAAATACGAGATGTTTCCCGACGAATCATCGTTGAAGTGTCACGTGCTGATAACTACTCCAGAAACCGTCCTTTTTCGCTCTAGAGTCCTTTCAAAAGTTCGTATGTGGGAAGTAATGGTTGTCGATGAAGCGCACAGCCTAAAAGGTGGTGATGCAGGAAAAGTCTTTAGGCAATTGACTTCGACTTTGAAAAATGTATTTTTCAAAGTTTTATTAACAGGTAAGCTTAATTATTGTCCTGAATTAATTATTGTGGGGATGATACTGAAATTTGTGGTCTCGATCTGAAAATATTAGCCCTATTAAATTCTACATATACTTTTTAATTATCAATTATAACCCTAATTCTTAACCCTAAAAAAAAAAAAAAAAGCGGAAAAAAACACCCAAAAAATTTTAAATTCATATAAAATAAGCACAGATTTCAGCTTCAGCCACTACAATTATTTTTACGTTTAGAATAATAAAGAGTTATTTACCGTTACTATTTTATTCTTTTCCTCAATTAATTTGAAGGTACACCATTGATGAATAGCATAGACGAACTCTTTAATTTACTCCATTTCTTGGGTCATGAAGCATTCAAAAAACCAAAGGAATTAGCTGAGCAATATCAAGGACTACCTTCTGTCGAGCAATTGCCAGCATTGCATAAGTTGTTGAAAAATTATTTTTTGAGACGTACTAAGAGTCAAGTCAATATAGAACTTCCTCCAATGGTAACATGAAATTTTTATATTGACATTGAAATGTGTTATTTTGTCTATATCTGTCGTTTTGATACATACATTATTGCATTGTTATTTACAATAGGATGATGTGATAGTGCGTGTTAGCATGACCGCTATACAAAAGAAGATTTACAAGGAGACCTTTGAGAAGAACGCAGAGTTTTTGAGGGAGGTCACAAAAGCACGAAAATGCAAATCAACCGGATTTTCTAATATAATGATGGGCCTACGACAGATCGTTTGTCACCCATACATTATTAATCGTGAAGTGGATAATGGCGAAGATCATGAAAACTATGAAACCTATGACGCCGAACGGCGAAAAAAGCTTGTAGAATCAAGTGGAAAACTCATTATCTTGCGAGATATGCTAAGAAAATTACATAATACTGGACACCGGGTGCTAATATTCTCCCAATTTGTAGATATGTTATCTATATTGGAAGAATTTTGTGAGGATGAAGGATATTCACACGTGAAACTTGTAAGTAGTGGAGTTTAAATTTTATGTTCTATATCGCATGATATTTAATTTTTCCATTGGTAGGATGGATCGACGTCAAATGAAGTACGCCAGGAGAATATTTCTGCTTTTCAAGCACCTGACAAAGATATCTTCATATTTTTGTTAACAACACGCGCTGGTGGCGTTGGATTGAATTTGATGGCTGCTGACACGGTGTTTATATTCGATCCGGATTTTAATCCGCATCAAGACATACAAGCTTTGAGTCGTGTACATCGGATTGGTCAATACAAACCCGTAAAAGTATTTAGGTTTATTACTCAATTTTCAGTAGAAGAACGTATAGTAGAAAAAGGTAAAATAAAACTCGCTAAAAACGAGCTTGTTGTAGAGAAAATGGATGATGAAATTCTCGATGTCGAAGAGGTCGATGACATAATTCGTTGCGGAGTGCAAGCATTATTTAGCGAAGATGCTAATGAAAAACCTGTTGGAATTTATACCGACGAAGCAATTGAGAAGCTGTTAGACCGTTCTCAGATGAAGGCTGTTGAGAAGAATACGGAGTCCAAAAATTTGACTGGATTCGCTTTCGCACGTGTATGGGACACCGAAAATCAGGTCATAATTGATGAGATCAAAACTGCAGAACGGGACGGAGAAGCTAAAACTTCAACCGATTTCTGGGATAAGATTCTAGCACATGTCGCCAAGCCGTCAACAGTAGCTCCTATTGAAGGTCGTGGGGCGAGAAAACGAAATAAAGTCGTAAGTAATCTTGTCGTAACATAGCGAACCATTTTTTTTTTCGTTTTACGAGTTTGTTATCTAATAGATGTATTTTATTATGATAAGAATTATTATGAAGGAGATTACCTATCTTCGAAAAAACAGAAAAAGAAGCAACTTCCTGTGACTGATCCAGACTTTGATCCGTCCGAACGCATAGAATCTTCCTCATCTGAGTCAAGCTCGGATGAACTAGATGAGGATGTTGTGGTTATTAATATGATCGAAGATGTTAAATTAAAATCTGCAAAAAATGCTCGAAAGGAAAAATCAAAAATCCAAAATCAAGTGGACATTATGGAAAATGGACAACAAACAACCATGCAGAATCAAGTGAACGTTATGGAAAATGTACAACAAACGAAAATCCAGAATCAAGTGAACATTATAGAAAATAGAAAACCAACAAAAATCCAGAATCCAATAACCATTCTTCAAAATGAGCAACGAATAAAACCCATTTCAGAAATCCAGAATCCAATAACCATTCTTCAAAATGAGCAACGAATAAAACCCATTTCAGAAGCTAATAACACTCATGTTAGACAACCGTTAACATACGTTTCAGGTGAAATGGCCAACTCTTCACAAAAACAATTAGCTCCGGTTTCATCTGCTCAACACAACTCACGTTATATCGCACCGGCATATAATCAGAAGAATTCGGAATCTCCGATGGCGCTAAACATACAGCAGCAGCAACAATATTATGCACAATTGCGTATGCAGCAATATTATCGTCAAATGCAGATGCGTAGACAGGGATATAGTGGTTATCCTGTAGAACCTCAGACGGCTAATTCGTTAATGACCAATAGTTCAGTCAATTCCAGCAGGCCGGTTGCAGCTCAAAGTGTTCAACCTCATCTTATTGCAGTTGATAACAGCAATTCACCACAAAATGCATATGATATGACTACCACATATTTACAATTTCCTCAGGGAACAAGTCTAAATTCTCAGGAATTTTATTACAGCAATAATTCACATATTAATCAAACGTACATTAAGGACACTAATATGATGAACTATAACACTACACCAACAATTAATAACATTAATGCAACTAATATTAATATTAATGTAAATATTCAACAAAATAATGTTGTAATTCCTAGTCAAGCAAATGTGAGGAAATTAACTAATGCAAGTGGTGATTTGCAACAGATTGGCTTACAAGAAACGACGGACGTAGCTTTGGAAAGTGGCAGTAATGCGCCTAATTCAAATAAGACGATGATTAATCACTTTATGATGATATTCGATAAATTACAAAAAAGTCAAGAAGATGTGACAAATAGATTAATAGCATTAATAAGAGTTTATCGCGAATTACAAAAGTTAGAATTCGACGTTGAAAAGTACATCGCGACGCAGTCGGAGAAAAATCAACTCGATAAAGCGCTGATGGCAGCTTTTAGACAATCACAAATAATTTGTTTGGAATCCGATTAGATTAGTTATAATTTTTAGAATGAATCACATTTCTAATAAATAAAATTTGTAATGCAATTTGTATTATATCCATGCTTAATAAAATATGTACTCAGCTAGGTGGGGGAATAGTCTAATCTCGTCAAATCATTATAGTAGTGCTAAATAAAATTGAGCGTGGTTAAATTATAGCTATAAATGTAACGAAAACCTACTGCACTAATATTGCATGTTTGCTATATGTGGTGATAATAAATCAAGTCGATGACTTTTATCATTAATAAGTTGTTGATTATTAAACTAAGCCGACACGTAAAGAATAGTATTTAGGAAATTTAATTAAAATGCTATATATTAAATATTATTGTTATATAATAAATTAATTCGTTTACTCTTATCGTTAGGGTGTTTACCAAACTATAAAATCAAACATTATTTAGGGTCGCATATCTGATATAATAAATATTTTACTACAGGGTGAAACCCGTGCTGTGAATTACGTAGTAAAATCCGCTTCGTTGATTTGCATAATAAAAAACATAGCTAAAGGCGGATTTCGCCATAACGTAGCGGATTTTACTACGTAATTTACAATGCGGGTTTCGCTAGGGTGATCATCAAACTAGTAAAATCAAACCATAAGTAGCGTAATATGTACTGATT